ATTTGGCATGACATCATTCCAGAGTGCCAGAAAATTCTTGGCTCACATGCCTGCTCTTGGCTAGCTCAATTCTTCACAAGGGTCACCATAAAAGGAAGATTGCTGAAAAGCTGGCATATCAAGTCACTGGTCTCCCAAAACCTAGTGAAGACCACCACCTAGTAAAGAACAGGAATTATACTACTACCCAATATCATTGCTTTCTATGGGCTCATCTAGACTATGCTGAAGTATCGAAAGAGAATATGCAAATTCCAATCTCACTTTCGAAAGCGGAGCTTTCTTAAGTGAAAGTAGTTAAGATGCGTTTTTTTCGGCAACCCTCCCTCTTTTTATACGAAAAGACGTATAAACCTAATTTTTTGAGGAAAAGTGGCTTTTCAAAAAAGGGGAGGGTTGCTGAAAAAAACGCGTCTTGACTACGTTCACTTTCGAAAGCTCTGCTTTCGAAAGTGAGATTGGAATTTGCATATTCTCTTTCGACACTTTAGCGTAGTCTAGATGAGCTCTAAGTGTCCCAAAGTTCTAGAGTACCTAATTTTACAGCAATACCAGAGTTGGAGAATACTTTGAATTAGGGATGTAATAGTAATCAATTCACCAATAAGAAAAGCTTATAGGTTAACAGTATCGACTTCATACATTCCCTGAACCTTTGCCGCCCCCCCCCCCGCCTGTAATTTTTTTTTAGCAGGCTGGCCAGCAGCTCGGCTCACTCACAGCTTGCGATGGGCCTGGGACCTACCCTGCTGCAGCTCTGCATTTAAAGTGTATTAGAAGCTGGGCAGGCAGGCAGCCCAGCTCAGTCCTGGCTCAAATTGGGTCTGGGACCTACTTCCACTATGGCTCTATATTTAAAATGTATTAGGAGCCACATGGGCAGGCAGCCAAGCTCAGTTCCAGCTCACGCCGGGTCAGGGAGCTCAGACGTTCTCTGGACAGGAGCTGCTGCCACCCCTTGCTGCTGCTTCTTTATTAGAGGCAGCAGCACTGGGCGACAGGCAGCCTGTCTGCAAGGGGAGCTGGTTTTTAAACTGGCTCCCCTCATGGACCAGCTCCTGCCGGGCAGCCTATGCTCTGCCTCTGTATCAGAGGCAGCAATGGCACGGAGTGGCAGGGGGCTCCTTAGGGATGAGGCCGGAGTGCACTGGCTGCTGGCCCTGCCCCCAAGGACTATAGAATAGTTGACTAACTGATAAGAATTCAACTATTCAATTAAGCAATATTTAAGGTTAATAAGGTTACTCGACTATTCAATTAACCAATATTTAACATCCCTACTTCGAATGTCAAGCAAGCAGGCCATCAACAAGGTCAAAGCACATTTAACCAAGATCTTGCACTAACCATATTCCTTTGAAATATTTTTCAAAGAAACTTCAAAAACAGATGCTGTTTTTTGTGACCTCACCACAGTGTAATACATGATGTGGCACATGGGTCTACTTGTTAAAATATCAAGAAGCCTTCCCCTCATGGGTTACAAATGCCATCAATCTGCTACTCTGAGACAGATGGTTCAAGGTACATGTGGGTGAGAAAACAAGTGCTTGGAAAAAAAAACAGATGAACAGTTCCCCCAGGAGTCTGTTCTAGTCCCAGTCTTCTTCAATCTACTTGCCACCAACCCAGTCATGGACATTCATTTATGCACACAATCTCTGCTGTGGGCTAGACCCTGAGTGATGATGCTACAAAGCTGGTTGACTACTACAAGATCTAGCACATTCAGTCTTGCATCAGCAAGACTGTAGCACATTCCACTCCTCCATGCCAATTCTAAAAGGAACTACTCTTCATAATGAATGCCCAGAAGTTGAAGCATGAAGCATGCCCACTTTATCGAGGGCATGATCCTTGACTAAACACTGACATATATTAGTCACCTCAACAAGACAGCAGCAAAGGCCAAGACATGCAACCACCTTCTCAACAAATTGGAAGATTCTTTTTGTGTAGCAGATGCTCCAACAGTAAGGGCTTCAGTCCTTGCCATTTAATACTCGATAGCAGAGTATTGTGCCTCAGTAAGAGTGGGCTGGTGCACACTCAACTTGTTGACATCCAACTCAATTCAGCAATGCACATCATCACAGGAACTCTCTCTGACTCATCTTCCATGGCTTCCAGTTCTGAATCACATTGTTCCCCCTAACATTAGAAGGGAGAATACAGCTGGCAAGCTACTCGAGAAGCTCCGTACCAACCCACACTTGCCCTTGTTTGACGACCCTTTTAGCCCACATGTCTTTCATCATGACACCTACTGTGGTTGAAGCTGCCATGACAGTATATGACAGCAGAGTCTCTGTGGCAGGAAGACTGGTGCTTAACACCAACCATCAATCAGTTCCTCATCACAGAATCTATTGCTCACCCAACTGACTTTGACCTACCATATCATCAGTGGTGCTTTCTGAACCAATTCCAGACTGAGTAAGGCCTCTGTGCAGCCAGCCAGCACCATGGGGGTCTTGGAGACAATCCAATCTGTCGCTGCAGGGCAGACCAAATATTGATACACATTGTTTAGAAGGCTAATTAACCAAATTCTGCTATGCCCGTAGATCTCCTCTTGGCTACTAAAATGCTATTGCTTGGTTTGGCGAATACACACGTGCAAAAATAAATAAATAAATGTGTCTGATTTTGTCACTAATGTCAGCATCACCAAATCAGTCAAGAATGATTAAAGAAGAGGAAAGACAGCCCACGAGATCTATTTGAAATAAACCATACACAGGCCAATAAACCTGCAGAAAGATTACAAAGAGTCTGGATTATGTCCTAGGGATGATACTGGTCCTGACTCTGGGATCCACAGGGGAAGAACAAAGAATGTTTGTGCTCATCCAAGGAACTTGTGTGTTTGTAACAGGTTGGCACGCACCTCACCTGAGCAACTCTTGTCTGGCCAAGCGCGTTTGCCTGTGCTGCCCTTTAAAAGCCTTTCTGGCTACTCAGCCCTCTGGCCGAGTCACACTCTTTTACCTAATCACAAACTCCTTCCAGGGTAGGCCCATCCTGGTACCCTCTGTAGAGTGTCTCTCTGAGTCAGTCTCTCAGTCTGTTTCTCCACTCAATAGGAGAGTGGTACCTTCAGGGTTTCTCTTCCTGGAGACAGAGTCCTGAACAGCTCCTCACTCTGAGTTGTCCCTGGTTCTGCCAGCCAGCCCCCTTGACCTTCTCCCTTCAGATCTGGGCTTCAACTGAGCTGCCTCTGGTTCCGCAGCTCCTTTTGGAGTCCTCCCTGACCCGATTGGCCGGTTCTTCCAGCTCCTCCTCAGCCTCTTGGAGGACTTCTCTATGGCCCCCTTGGCCTTAGGGCCTAGCCCCATTACAGCGTAATTCTAGACGTAAGGGCAGAGGTATAGTGCCTACATTTTCCATTGTCTCATCTTGGCAGGACCTTCTATGAGCATTAACTGAAAATGAGCATAATGCTCTTTGGTATTAAATTCTTTGTAATGAGTTGTGGCCTGGAGGAACAGGAAGTGACTTATGGGGGAAAAGATGCAGCAAATGAAATCAAGATCTGGGCCTGCTGTACCAGTGCTGATGATTTCTGAATCAGCATAAAACACTAAAAAACAGTCATGACCTACTAATACTGAATGTGGTTAAAAGAAAGCCCTAGCCTATATTGAAGACTACCTTTCCAGAAAAAAAAGGGGGGAAATCAGCATGATCAAGTCAGCAGAGGAATAATGACAACCTTCAAAACGGAAGAAAATGAAGTAATGGGACATAGATTCAGAATTCCTTCTAATTTCTCTGGCTGCTAAGCAATTCTTCTCATACTTCCACTACAAAGGGTCCTAAGTGCAAAATCCTACCCAGTTTTTCACAAGTATTCCTGCACATTTTAGGGGAACTGAATTTTAAAAGGTATCAAGTCTTCTCACAACATTCAGCTTAATCAAGTATCAATTAATAAAGCATCACTCCAGTTACACCAATTGCAATATAAACATTTAAGCCACTTCAGAAAATTAAAATATGTAGCCTAAATTTTCAAAAAGTGATTAGCAATGTTTAAGCATAAGACATATGTAAAAGGGACCTGAAAATGGTGCATGTTTACCCTCTGCAAGTCATGCTCATTTAAGGTATCTCAAGTTGTAGACCTACAGAACAAGGCAACCCAAACCACTAACTACTTGTAAAAATGTAGGCTTCTATTTCTAAGATGCATACTTTTCTTTGAAACAATCCTGTCACATAATGAAAATAACTCCGCATTGTTTAAAATTAGTTGGTCTCCTACCAGTTTTGTTATTTTTCGTAAGGTAAAACATTCAATTGTGTACATCCCACACAGAGGAGGAAGTGCAGCCAAGTGTAATAAACATATTATAGAACCAGAAACTGAGTTCGAATCTAGGCTTTACTATCCATTGATTATAGTTCCTTGATGGAAATCACTTCTTGATATATGCACCTACCTCACAAGGATGTTGTGAACATCACTGTTATAGTTTGTAAAAGGTTTAGTGTAAAACACTGAATTGGTGCTTAGTATTATTTCAAATGGGGAGCTGAAATTAGGATGGCTATTTTGCTTAACAACAACAACAACAACAACAACATCTCCTGCATAAAGTAAAGAGCACTCTATGCCAAGACATCTGCTTCTCAACCAAATTATTGATGATACGAGCACAGCTCTGGGAACAGTAAATGTTAATAGCGGCTAAGGACCTAGCTGTTGAACACAGCGAAGTTGAGAATCCCACAGAAAAAACCCTTAATTTACTTTACAATTTCTCAACAACAAAGTAGTGGAATTAAATAATAATAGATTCCGAAGAACTTAGCCATCCGGTGATAAAGTCTATTTTACAGTAGGTTAAACTTTGGGCCTTCACTATTTAAAAATGTCTCTCTAAAAGATTATATTGATAGCCAAGAAAGAATTTAGTATAATCTGTGGTGAACAAATAAACACTAAAGCAAGTAAGAATTTTACACCACTGCAAGAGTTTTTCGTTCTTTTGCAGCTTGACAAACTTGTTGAGAAACAGAAAGAAACTCACAGACGAATGCTGGAGCAGCTTTTAATGGCAGAAAAATCACACAGACAGACTCTATATGAGTTAGAGGATGAGAAGAGGAAACATACAGAGTACATGGAAAAGAGTGATGCATTTACAAATCTACTGGAACAAGAACGAGAAAGGTAAGGTTGCCTTGTATTTGTTACCAAAGTGTTACTTAATTAAAAAATGACTTCTAAGTGGCTCTCTACTTTCTCACTCTGCGTTAAGTCTAAAATCAGAAAATAATCTTTAAAACAAAATGTTTTGAACATTCACGTGTCAAAGAAAATACTACTAACACACACACACACACACACACACACACACACACACACAACCACACACACACACACACACACACGAAACCACCAATGTTCACAATTCTGTGCAGCCGGTGAAGTGAGCCTCATCCCAATCAACTTACAGCTTCCTATTTTAACAAGGATATTATACTATAAATCTCACAAATGTATGAACACGTTATAAGCTAAATGCAGCACGGAACAGGTGTAACTTTCAAAATTTTGAAGGACGTCAGTGTGCAGGACAGTATGAAAGAAAGGCATGCAGTCTGGGGTGGGGGGAAGGAGACTAATTATCTAGGTAGGAAATGGGCTGATTGAAAAGAACCCAAGACAGGGTAGAAAAAGGCTGAGAGGAAGTTATTAACGGCTTCCAACAAGAGGAGAAAGCCTTCAAGCACCTTCAATGGTATCAAAACAAAAGTTTCTTTCTAACATGCAAGCCTGAATTGCCACAAACATCCTGCATAAGAACAGTATGAAGATTTTGTATTGCATCCCATAACAGAAGGATGAAAAGAGTCTGATGTTTGTCTGTTAGTTTACTGTCTTTAAGAAATAACTTTTAAAATATCTGGCCTCTTTGAAACAGAAATTATCCCTAAACATATCCCCAAAAGGTATAGGAAAAAATAATTGAGGATCATATCCTATTCCCTGGACAGCTACTCCAGAAGATATGAGAATATTGTCTCTATTTCCTTTTGCTTAAGAACAGCTTCCAGATGGAAATGTTTGGGTGTGAGAACGTCAAGCCTATTCTAAACCCACATGATGCGTAGATAATTCCTCCTCTGCTTCGCCTGTATAACATCACGTCTCATGTACTTTGGCAATGTTAACTACTTTCACCCTTCCTGCTGCACCCCTCTCATTCAGTGCTGTCAAAAACAGCATACATGCTTTCTACAAAGGACAAATCCATGTGTATGGAACTGCTATTAAAAATAAATGCTGTACACATAACAGAAGAAAAAACTGCCTTATTCATAGATAAATATAAACAGATGTAGAGGGACATGGACATAGAAGGCAGAGAAGAGCAGGGTCCTCAGGAGACACATAGTGGGCTTTTACTGCAAGCACGATACTGTAAAATATTGATATATCAGGAGCCAAATCACACAATGGTCCATGTTGTGGTCTACACTCTTCTTCCCAAGCATGCACACCTCTCTCAAAAAGTAAGATAAACTCACTTCCAAGAGCTTGAGCATAATAACCCAAGAAACTAAATCAAACAAAATGTTACATGAGCTATATTCAAATCAGTGAGTGTGTACACAGAAGGAGAGCTGAACTCCACAATCCTTGTAAAATTAGAGGGGGGGGGGGGCAAA